CTCCCGTCTTGTTCCTCGGCTCATTTTCAACGCGCGTTGTGCATACACGCGCGTCCTGCCGTGCGGATACGAATAGAACGGTCGACAGTAACGACGAATAAAAACTCAACTAACGGCTTTTCAACACGTATCATATTTTTAAGATACAGATCTTAATTCCTCACGAATTTTAATTTCAATAACGAATTTAATGAAAGAATACGCATCAATGTAGCGCCATGTGTGTTTTTGATTAATTTTCTGTATGAATTGTATATTAATATTATAAAATCACCAGATAAAAATAACATAAAGTAATAATATTGCTAAGTTACTTACATTTCGCCTCAATTTCCTCATCATCCAATAGCAACGACACGACTTCTTTAGGTTTTAAAGTATCGGGCTTGAAATTTCCACCGCTTATGACCATACGTTGAATCTGTAATGAAAACAATCTCTCTCTGCACTTATGTCACTTATTGAACTTTAGCATCTGAACGCAGTGATTTGTAAAACGGACCTCGCTCTTTTCGCGCGCTCTCTGCAAAATTCGTTCTTCGATAGTTCCTTTACATATTAATCGGTAGACCGTGACTTGCTTGGTCTGTCCCAGTCTGTGGGCGCGATCCATAGCTTGTTGGTCTACAGTAGGGTTCCAATCACTATCATAAAATATCACCTGCAAATAGGCACCGTTAATTGCAGTTGCAGCGTCCATAAAAATACCGTAATACGTAACTGTTGATGCATGAAATAGAACGAATTATTTTTTTCCGCACGAAATAAATTTATGCACTTCTTTCTTATACATATGCAACGCCATTATAAATTATTTTAAATGCTGCAATGCGCAATTAAACCGTAACATAATCAATATAAAATTAAAAATAAGTTACAAATAATTTAAAAAATTTCTTGCATAAAATATATAATCGCTTAATAACACATACACGCTCTAATTTCATGAGTTTATCATCTTCGAGATAAATTTATAAAGACAGCCTATAACGCGTGCAATCGTGCAGTCACAACTTGTGCAATTCGTTGCAATATTGGAAGCATGTAGCATGTCGCGAAACGAATAACAGATTTGTTAAATCGATGATAGAAGATTGGACGTTATAGACAATCTCGTGAATATCTTTATGCACGGAAGAAGAGCGGTATTCTGTAATGTAGATATTTTTCATATGCCTCCTTCTTGTATTGCAAGATATAAAGAATACATTTCATCGTGTATAGCAGGCATAAAATTTATAACTGTAAAATTTGTAATTGTAAAATTCGTAGTAAGAATATGAACTGCATATATTAATTATGACAGAGATTTGACTCATAAATTTATGTTCTTATGTAATCAAAGACAATAGAAACTAAAATTCGAGGTGACGTGAGTAAATAAGTATATAAACTGAGGATAGAATTACCGTGTCTGCCGCAGTGAGATTGATTCCCAGGCCGCCAGCCCTAGTGCTAAGCAGAAAGACGAATATGTCCGCCCTGAAACACGAAACAATCCCATAGATTCAACGAAGCCGAAGAATGAAGACATTGGCCGTTTGTATGTAAATTAATTCGAGATCCCGGCGTTTTTGAAGGATTTCCAGGATAAAATCCTCCTCAACGTGAGCATACGAGATTTCAACGATTTCAATTGTATTTTTTCATGTACTTTTTCCCTTCCCTTATCCCTTTTTATTTATTTTCAAATGTATAAAATTAAAATATGTATACAATTAAGCGCTATTATTGAATAAGAAATTAATGTAAACTACACGAAAAAAAGAGGTAGTCTAACATTTTGTTTGTTGCTAATAACGACATAAAAATATAATTGTTCGAAGATTCAAAGGAATAGAAATTATAATAACCAGTGTGCTGCTTAAATAGCCCAATAGTTAGAGCTTCTGTTTTGTGGTTGTCGCGCGTTCGAAAACTTGCAGCTGTCTGCAAGATGGGGACGATTCGACAATTAATTCGCGTGTTAGTTATGCGCGGCTGAACCAGGACATGTGATGCGCTTTAAGTAACTGAATACTGTTATAAGATATTCTAATCAAAAATGGCTCAACTATTACATGTACTTTTTTTTATTAATATTTTTTTATTAATAAATGACCAACGCTAAGGTTGATTTAAACGAAAAAATTCAAAATTTCACATAATCTGCACTTATATTATTGAAAAATTCAAGTTTACTGTATCAACTTTTTTGACAATATTGCAACAGCAAGAAATAAATGTGCACGATTATTGCAGTAATAAAACAGTTACCTCTTCTGAAAATCTGCCACCATGTCCCGACGGTCTGAGATTTTTGACGAACCATCTAATCTCATAAATGTGTGTTTTCTATGATACATATATTCCTACAAGAAATAAATTTGTCATAATAAAGCAATTGCACGAATGCAGTAAACAAGTGAAACACACCTCTAGCAAGTCGATCATTTTTGTCATTTGAGAGTAGATCAATACCCTATGACCTTGTTCTTTCAGACGCCGTAAAAGACTGTCCAGTACAGAAAGCTTGCCAGCGTCTGTCACTAACGTTTGTTTGTCTAAAATAATTTAACATCTGTTAATTAATAGAATCATAAAAAAATCATACTATTGTGTTATCATTATTATATATATTTGATTATGTAATAATATAATCTTGAATATACCCGGTACAATGATATGCGACCATCCATTAATAGGGATACACGCAGATAATCCACCCTGCGGCTGATAAGAAAACGTTGACATTGTTTGGCTGGCACGAATGCCCAACTTTTCTTCAGAAAGTGCTCGTTCACAACCAAGCCAAAGTAACCTTTGACCAAACGAGCCACCGCATTCCTCGTGCCTCTTCCAGGCGCATGCTGCAGAACTATTACTGACGTATAATTTTCGTGGACTAGCTTGAACCTGCAATTAAAAGAGTAACATAGATTAAATAACATCGTTATTCGTTTCTGTTGCGTCAGACAAAATTGTATCAACCTTGGGATTATTATCGCAAACAAAGGCAGGAATCGTTGTTTGTTGGCAATATCGCATCATAAGCTGCCGCGGGTGATGAGGATGTTCAGGAAGCAGAGCCAATTTCGAATCTTCCGTTTGATCCATCTTACCGGTGGGTAATATTCTTTGTAACTAAATATTAGGACATATTGTGTCACAGTGTTTGCAAACCTTTGAAATTGACGTGCATGTATGTTACGTAATGTAAAATGTAATTACTTTTAATAACTGATTAGCTTTTTTACTACTACGTAGTATTCTGTGGGCGACAGTTTCCGGCATCGAATGTATCGTATGATTGGTATGTGTGTAGAGAGCCTCGCCCTCGACTATTTTGCTGGTAAAAAATATATCTTGCAAGGTTGTCGACAAAGCGTCAAATTTTTTGGGCAAATAAAACATTTGGTTTGTAGACGTTCTCGATCTATCATCGGCATGCCAATTTTCGCAGTATTGTACCATTCTTAACCTTCTCTTCATGAACGTTATCAGGCATAATCTATACAGACAAAAGATTGAAATCAAAATAAGACAATGTATGAATTATTTTTCCAATTTGATATTTGCATACCTGAATAAAGTACCGGCGATGAATACTTTATTTAATTCCATCGGAGACAAATTGATAAATCTACTAAATGAAAATGTATTTTCGTGCAAATCTTCGTTGCAATGTAGAGCACGGTGAATATATTCTGCGGTAAATATAAACAACCTATTATACAATAGATGATCTTTGGATGATAATGCTAGATGTAAAAGTCCTTCGTTATACAGCAAAGCAGGCATATTATAAAATTCTGTATTCATAAAAAATGGCGATTTAGCATCCCTACGTTCAAAAAGTTCCGGATGATTGCAGACCTGTAATTAATACATTCTTTCTTAATAACTGGATTACTTTTAAGAAATCAAAACTATGATAAAATATCAATAACTCAATTTATTATACAGATCATAAATAGGGCTATGAATTTGACTATAGGTGTACCTTCCGGAACTGCATGACTAGATTCATTAGATTGGAAGTAAAGTTTTTATCGTTAGACGCAGTGTCTCCTCCGCCCACTGTATAATGCAGCAAATCCTCTATTCGAATTTTTTTCTTCAACGCTACAAACAAGACAGATATAGGTACCAAATGCTAGAAATATTAAATATTCGTGAAAATAAAATCAAGATACCTGAGTAAAGCAGCTTTTGACGAGTTGTAAGCGGACAATATACCATCACTTCAATCTTATCGGATAATTCATTTTCCACATCCTTTTTTATTCTTCGTAACATAAAAGGTTTTAGGATCATATGAAGCCTTGATAAGTGTTCTGCAGCACAAAATTTACGACATGTACATTTTGTAATTAATATATAATCATTTCGTTTAAAATCGAAAAGAATCGTTTAATATCGTTTGTGCAAAGTTTTTACTCACTTTCATCTATTCCGGTTTTATTCTCTGCGTGACTTTCGATATCTTTGGAAAACCACTCGTTAAATTCATCATGCGAATCGAATAGTGTAGGCATAATAAAATGTAGTAACGCCCATAATTCTGCCATGCTATTTTGTATAGGAGTACCACTGAGCAATAATCTATTACGACAACTAAATCCCAATAACAATTTCCATCTCATGCTGTTAAAACAATTAAAATATATTAATTAGAAAAAACTATGCAATGGTTGTAAAATAACAAAAACAAAAAAACAAAATAACGTACCTGCTTGTGCTTTTTATAGCTTGTGCTTCGTCCAAGATCATATACTGCCATTTTATTCTATTAAAATATTTATAATCCGTAATTACTAATTGATAACTCGTTATTACTACATGGAAAGAAGCTTCCTTTGTGTGCAAGTCTTTAGTATCCCAAAATTGTCTGAGTATCTTGCGTTCTTGAGGATTACCCCAATATGGAACTACTTTGAATACTGGTACAAATCTCGCCATTTCTTGCTGCCAGTTATGTAATGTTGAAGCTGGTGATATAATTAAGAATGGTCCCCAAACAGCTACAATTAATTGTCACATATAGATTCAATATTGTCAAGTTATTTTTTGCTTCAACAATGCATATAAAATATTAAATTGTAATAACCAGGTTTAATTGTTATATATAATACTTACAATATCTCTCGGCAACATGACATAAAAATGCTATGGATTGTACAGTTTTTCCCAGACCCATCTCATCGGCCAGTATTCCACTAATACCCTGAAAAAAATTAACAAAATTTGAAGATATTTATGTAAAGATATATAATCCCAACAACACGCATAGTATTGTATATATATATATAGTTACAAACCTGGTCATATAAATTTGCCAACCAATTCATTCCTTTTAATTGATAACCTTTCAGATTTCCCTTGAAAATTGAAGGTTGCGGATGCTCCAGGTTCTCAGGTGTATCACTGAGACGTAACTCTTGAGATGCAGCAGCTGTATCAAATTGCTTGGTCCTGGCCTTTTCATTGTTAAACGCTTCAGTAGCATTTCTTTTTGCCTTTTGTTTCATGATGTCACTACACATTCAGTAAATATATGCTTTTATAGTTAAAATATGAGACATAAAACAATTAAGATTAGCTTTTGTTAAGCCATTAAAGTAAATAATTAATTTTAAGATATACGTAAATAAAATTATAAATTTAATTCAAGTACCCATCATAATCGTCGATGCCAATAAGTCTGGGATTTTTTTCTTCATCCAACTGATTCAAGATTCTCAACTGTTCCTCTGCCGAGGCTTTATCTATTTTTCGCGACATAAAATGAGCATACAATTCTGTTTGAGTAATAAGAAAATTTAATTTTCTTTGCTGACGTTTAGCCTGAAATAAGAGCAACATAAAAATATTTGTAAAATAAAAGTACAAAGACTATTTTATTATATAATCCAATATTTTCTTACTTCAATAAGTTCTACATCCATTTTACGTTGTTCTTCAGCTTCTTTCTCTAATCTTCTTCTAGTTTCCCGTTCGACTCGATCGTAACGCTTCCAATAAGATTGCATTTCTCTTGTCAAGCGTTTTGCCCGCCAGATAGTCTCTTTCATATTTTTCTGCGACTGAATCATAAAAATAGAGATAAATATGTATGGAATTAGAACTTTAAGGTCAAGTACTGATCCAAGTATTAATTTGTACTCACTTGCATAGCTTTCTGCCTCCAATATTTCATACAATGCTGCGCTACTTTCTTACAACTTATTAGCATTTCCTTATGATTATTGGTTTTGGCCCTTTGTACTTTTCCTAGTTCCTTTTTAGACATCATCACCCATATTTTTCTTCTTCTCATCGTCATCACTTCAACACTCTTGGTATTATGCTTTTTTCTTCCTCTACCTCGAGGCTGATGACGCATGATAGCTTCTAATTCAGATTCGTCTAACTCTTCCTCTCTAGGAATTGATTTATCCCATTCTCCCTCCGGAAATTCTCCTTTCTAAAAATAAAAGCACTTTTACAAAACGGAAACATAAAATGTAAATATGCCAACATAAAATAATATAAAATTTGATACATACACGATATTCCTCAGTACAGTGACGATTCATTTTTTCCTTCTTGATTTTCATGATTTTTTTATCTGGCTTTTTTTCTTTCTTCTTTTTATTTCCGACAATCAATTTTTGATGCTCCAAAAATCTATCATAATTCGATAGTAAACCCGCACTATAATATTGATATTGTATGTTCTGAAAATAACAACATTTTATAAACAAAGGAAATAAAAATAAAGATCAATAATTAAAAGATAATATTGTTATGAAATGATATAAAACTACAAATCATTGGAAATCTCACTTAGGCAAACATAGGATTGTGCCCTTAATTATCAAGATTGACATGTCAAGTTAAAAATAGTTACGTAAAATTGAAAATCAAACAGCAACATTCCTTGAAAAAGGACGAAAAACTATGTGTGTATTTTATGGATATAACTTTGTAAAACACCAATTAAATAATATCCTGAATTGTTAAACGTTTGCAAACATACAATTTTTAACTATCATTGCCCTTACTTCTGGTTTCTGGTAAAAACGGCCTTGATATTTTTTTCGTAATATGTGAAACTTCAACATGTCTTGAAAATCTTCTTCCGTAACTTGACTATCTGTATCAGAACTATCAGAGGAATCACTTAGAAGAATATCTTGCAACCAGCGTCTCTCTTCTCCTACAGTAGACATATTGTACAGCCTCAACTTATTGATTCTTGCTTCTAAAAAAAAAATTGTTACAAGAAACATTAATCAAACTGTGTATATCAAAACTGTGAAATCAAAATTGATGGTATATACCAACCTTCTTTTCGAGTGGGTACATTTTCGAGATAAGCATCTGAACCATCAGAAGATTCCGATGACACAGACTTGTCATCTTCACTGAAAAAAACAGAAACGAAATATTTGTATTATTTATAGTATTAATTTATGATATATCATTAATACACTATAAATTTGAACAGCAGAAATATATTTAACAAGTGACAAATATATTAGTACATACCTAGGTTGTTCTTGAAAGAGATCATTGATCTGCTTTAAGAAAGGCTGTATATTCAGGCTACGTTCCAGTCTCTGCAGATGCAAAGGCGCAGCCATCTCAGCTTCCAGCTTCATCGTGTTTGCTCTATCAGACATTACCCGTCTATGAGAAATCTGACAATCTGTAACAATGCACAATGAGTTAGGAAGTGATGTAAGAGAATAAGGCAACTTAAAATATATAAAATTACCGACGCGAGTCTACGGCAAGTCTTTGGCAACATGCAAAAGTAAATCTTTCAGCAACGCTTGCGAACCAGAAATACTTAGCCGATCTACCAAGGATACAGAATACGTACAGTAACAAAATATACAAGTTTTAGCAACGTAACGTGTGTGGTGCGCAAGGGTTCTCCCCCCGCCCCCCCCCCGGAAACGTACAGATCCGGTAAAAATAAAAATGAAAAAGCATTGCAGGCTGTAACGAAAGTAACGAGAACGCGTGTTGCACGACGATACGTGGGATACCGAGTGCGATCTACCGGGACGGGAAAAGGAAAACGTGCGTGTGCCCTACAGCAAACCACGGTAGAACGGAGCTTCTGAGCTGGGCTGCCGTCGTGTCCGGTGGACTCTCGTGTTTCTTGCGGCGGACGACGCATATTACGGGCGTGGAACTGACATGCGGGATCGTGCGCGGCTAATTTCATTATGTAAGGCGAGTGACACGTCGTGTTTCGGGAGCCTGGTGGATGCGGTTATAACTCGGCTTAAATAATCTCGGCCAACAGTTTTGCTTTCACCTTATTGTTTTGGTTATAACGCGGCCCCGCTTATTTCGCACGCGTAACAGAGCCTACCACCGGAATGGGATTCCCTCTGTTCACAGCGAAATCAGATACATCGGTCGGAGGGGAATACATAGTAGAAGGAAGCCTAGAGAACGCAGACATTTGGCGTGCCATTAAAGCGGGGCAGGGATAGGGCATATTGCTCGCCACCATTTTTGTTTTCAGTAGGTGGCGCTGGCCGCGCCCGTGCGCGCAGCGGAGATCTTGTTTCTGGATATACTTCTCTCGGTAGCCTCGGTGCGTGTACCCACCTGCGCACGTAAAATTTCAAATTACGGCCCAGATCTCGATCTGTTTTCTAGTATATGCCATAAACGATTATCTCACGCAAACGCGCGAGCCCCAAAATTCTCGCGTTGCCCCGAAAACGCGCGACTTTAGAAAATAATTATATTTATTGCCCGCATGTTTTCATATATATATATATATATTATTTATATACAATGGAGAGGTGACCGCTCGAGTCTTTGAAAAGATTAGACGCGATTTCGATGAGCTTGATTTTATACCGACATGATAAGAAAGACAAATTTTATGTCGAGTTTTCGTTATCAGATCAAATACAAAAATTAATAATTCTCGTCGATGTAGTCAAATTATCGCGTTATTTTTAAGTCTTCAAATCATTTTCGAGCAACTTAAATTAATATATGCAATAAATTACGTTAATCTATAAATTTTTTTATATAAAGATTTCGACGATTCGCGTAAAAGCATGACGCAAAATCTTATTTACCGGAATGACCGGATCGAGGAATTTTTTAACGTACCGATAAACAAATGAGGTTAGCTCGAGTATTAATAACGCGGGACGCACGTAATCGCGTTTAATCAGCCACCTCTTGCTTCCAGTGCGGTTTACCAGTTTCGCGAAATGCGTCGAGGTAATTTGAGAGAGGCGCCCTTTTTCCGCGTCTCCCACGGAAAACTCGCGTCTCAGCCGAGTGGCCACGATCCGATTCCGAAGAGAATTCGGAAGCTCGCGAATCGCGCACGACTACGCGAGTCACGTTTCCGTTCATGCGCGTCGCGCGCGTCCTAGCCTCAAAACCCACACCGGAAGTGTTGCCACTGTCGGCCGCCGAGGTAACCTATTTCGCTGATAAACGCCTTTGAGTCGTTTCGACGGTGTCGCAAGACGCTCGCGAGGATCCTACGATTTTTATCGAGTCGAATCACGTCGATCGACCGAGTTCCGCGTTTACGACGAGCGTGCGATTCTCATCGCAGAGGGGCGGCGGGGGGAGGACCTCGCTCGGCGTCGGCCTCTTTTAAATTACTTTACGAAACCGTACCTGCGTGCGCGTTCTCGTTGTGCACGCACCGCATTTTCATTCCGACAAAAAAGCCTCCGTCCGTCGGGACGTTAACGTCATCAGCACCGAGTGAACGAGTATCGGTCCTCGCCACTCCTCGGCCCTCGCCCCGCGTCGCGTTGGTGGGAGAGGGAAAGGTGTCGCCGCGGCGCCGCCGTCTGGCATCGAGGCTAAGCCTCGCGCGGCGGCCCTGCGCGCAGTCGTGTGAACCCCAGTTTGTTTCCGTTGTTGCTACCGAAGCTCCGGCCTCGCCGTGCGAAACGCCGTTCAGTTCACTTCAGTATCTCCTCAGTCTCGTTGATCCTGCGTCGTACGAAGGAGTGCACAAGGGGTTTCTCTTAACCGAAGGTTACCGAACGTTCAGGTGAGTACGGGCGGTTAGACGTAGTCCCGCGCGCTAGTTAGTAAGTTCTCGCTCTCGGGAGAAAAGAATTGCGAGCTACGTGAAAAATAAACGGAGGCGGCACCTCGTCGCGTTACCTCGTCGTGTAACGTGATGTAACGCGCGAGGGCGATCGCGCCCCCCGCGCGCGCACAGCACGCTCTCTCCAGCTTTCGTTCCCGCTCGGCAAAATTATAACGAAGCGCGATTCAGCGCGATGGCGAGGCAAAACGCGGTCTCTCGCGAGGAAAGGGATGAAAAATCCGCTTCGACTCGGAGCGGAGCACGCGGACGCGCGCGTCGTGCACCTTTGTTGACGATGCTCATCGGGGCGCGTCGGGAACGCCGCGCAGATCGCTCTTTCTCCGCGCGGCCATTATTCCGACTCGGAGTTCGGAGTATCGCTCGCGGCGCAATTAACCGACGGCGCGCCTTCCGTTATCGATCGTATCGCCAATTCGTGGCCGAGCGTGGCGTGGCCCGAAATCGGTGGAAATTTTCTGGAAATTTCGACGCGGCGTCCTATGCGACACGCGTACACACACCGGCGTGGCACAACGAATATTCTTTCTCATTCAACCGAATATTCTTCTCTTCTTTTTGCTCCCCTCGAGCCGTTTGCGCATAACGTACAAGAAATTTCGTGCGTCCTTTCGATCGTTTCACTAGTTTTACGTACGATGCGCATCTTCCGGAAAGCCTCCATTACTTTCATTTCGTGAAGCACGCGAGCATACCTCGTTACATATTAAAGAATAATTTCGTCGAGAATAATTTTACGACGCTTATTAGATTTATTTGCGTTAAGGCAGTAGCATACAATATACGTACATATTCGAATAATAAAAAAAATTGTTGATCCGATTATATTAAATTTGTATTCCTTGAAAGAACAATTATAGAAACACCGTTATGTTTATTTACAAACAATTAAAGTTTAAGTTTTTTTAACCGCCTCTCGGTACTTGAATCTTGGAAAAATAACGATTATCTTATGTTGTCATGTGATTAAACGGCAGGTTCTGCAGGTAGCCTGTTATGTAAGGTGTTTTTATATTTTCCTTTAAGAATGAGCACTCGAGTATTCGTTGGTGGATTAACGTACCGGGTGAGAGAGCGCGACCTTGAGAAGTTCTTCCGGAAATATGGTAGAATCAAGGAGGTCGCTATGAAGAATGGATTTGCCTTTGTGGTAAGTCTAATGTGGTTCAATTGTTTTTTTTACAGTATGGTAGGGACAAGAGTCTATGTCGGTGGGCTTCCATACGGCACCAGGGAAAGAGACCTTGAGAGATTTTTCAGAGGCTACGGTCGATTCCGTGATGTTCTCATCAAGAATGGTTATGGCTTTGTTGTAAGTATCTGTATCCAGCTGTAAATACCACAAGTAACACTTTGCTTTACCCAATTTGGTCCCGTAATATTTCTTTGGCTCGTATCGGTTCGTCTATGCGGCAACTGCAAAACTTTATATTTCACTGTATCTCTTTAAGACTAATACATTTTTGGAATTAGCAAATCTTGATTTCTCAGCTTTACAGTTGTTCTATAAAATGCATTAGTATTTATGCATTTTGAGTTTTAAGGAGAAATTTATATATATAAACTTATTGAGTGTTTAATATATAGCGTGATACTTTGGGCTAAAGATTGCAGCTGCATCTCTCAATCACTTTTAATTATTTTGTGAATACTTCATATTTAACTTAATATTTTGGTACTGCAATTATATGGCAAAGTTTTGGAATAAAGAGAGAACGAAATTTTGTTCTGATAATTATTCGTTTCTTTATCGTGATTTGGACCAAAGTGGGTAAGTCGCAGAGTGTTAAATTACAAATACAACTCGATAACCCGAGTTGACCTGACCTGAGCCCTGAGCACACTGGTACTGTGGCAGTTTAATGGAGCTGTGTGCTGCTTATCATCGATTATTCTGCAAAAGCTTTGTAAGTTATGTATAACCGGGGAAACTAAGCTATTTATAATGGGCCATGGACTACCAGATAATTATTTATACTAATAATTGGAAATTGTATAAGCACTTACAGTAAATCGGATTCTGCACTTTTATATAGTTTAATACTTATATATTAGACATTTGATAATGTACGATTTATTTATTAAGTCAATTAATGATATATTTTTTTTACCCTAAAACTTTTGCAGGAAGCGATTTGAAAAATGTAATAAGATTACAAATTTTAGATCATTATGAATTAATTAAAGTCTTATTGATACTGTTAACATGATATACATCTAAATATTTTATTACATACCTATAGCTTTTATGTATATTGTATATGTTTACAATTTGTGTTAATAATATAACGATAACTTAGTGTTATAACTTAGCATTATTTATGAAAGCTTTTTAATTAATAAATATTATATATTGCATTTAAATGCAATATATAAAGTAATATACGATACGAGCGATGTTATCGCATGCAATACTAAATTAACAACCAAACTGCATGTTATTTCTAAATAATAACGGAAAAATTCTTTTTTTTTTATAGGAATTCGACGACTATAGAGATGCTGACGATGCGGTGTACGAATTAAACGGAAAGGAACTTTTAGGAGAAAGGTAATGCGATTCTATTTTATTTAGTGTATGAAACATATATGTACTAGGCGATTATATTAGGCGGAATGGTATAGGTAGCATGTTTGCATGACTGAATAGTTTCTATAACAATCCATTTAGTATGTGGATTGTTATTGTGATTACAATTAATGTTTGAACTTTATTATAATATATAATATTATTGGTACTGGGGGTTCTTTGTTTAAACTAAGCAGATTTTAATTCATTATGCTAACACACTAAGGGTGAGTTAAATTTGATATTAGCAAAATAAACTAATGTCACATAACAGATGTAATTCCTTCCTACAAATCTTTATAACGTCACATATTAAATAATACATCTACTTTTAACGGAATTATTAACAATTTTAAGAATACATTTTTTAAATTTATATACAAGATTAAATTACAATTTAACTTACATGATTATCTCTTATTAAAATTAATGAAAATTTTTTATTGAAATATATACAGTACATCACAATATGGCTAATATAATATATAATAGTTTATTTTCAATGCGCGATGTTGGGTGATGCAATATTTATTATAGTGAGCCATAAATATCTTCTGATTTACATAATAAATATTTTTTTCTGACTAATTCTGACTAAATTCTAAATAAAAAATTTTAATTACTCAACCCTAAATGGCTCAATTTTACTGACGATTAATGTCTAGATTATTTAGGAAATTGAATCTTTTTTAAAAACAAAAAGATTCTTAAAAATGTTAAATCACTAGACATTAAAAAAAAAAGCATTTGTTACCCCTGTGCGATTTATTTATAATTTAATATTTCCTTCTAGATTGACAAATACTATGTCTTATCATAAGTAAAACAGTTTTATCAATTTATCTTGTTCTTGTTGTATATCACTTGAGATTAGATTGAAATGTGAGAAGCAATAGCATTCGAATAACGAGAAAATCAAGTCTCTTCGAAAATAACATTCAAAGTAATTTTCTCTGAAAAAATTCTTATTTCTCTCTACATGCTTTTTTCTTTCTTTCTGTTTTCCTTTTGGGAATTTATGTAAGTGTGTCAATAATATTAGTAGCTTCTACATGTAATAAATAATAATAATTTTCAACATAGAACAAATATTGTAATAGCTGACAAAATGCGGTGGCAGAATTCTTAACGCTCTAATCGCATTGTATTTCAACCTGTACCAGTAATATTATTCGCTGTTGCTTCTATTTGATTAAAGAACAAATGTACAGTGCACAATTATTTGTTCACATTCAACGGGTGTTCCGTTAATGCCTTTAATTTTGCATCTATAGTAAACGGCGTCTGTCCTCCAAATTAACGATTGGACATTTACTGAGATATAAAATGCGTCTTAAATGACTTACCGCCATTTTGAACTACTTCCATCAATTCCCCGAGTAGAAAAAGTCATTACAATAATGTGTCTTCGACTGGAGAAATGTTATATTGCTTCTTTTTTGCCGAAAAATTTGGCACATATGCTTTTTCATAAATTCATCGTGTGATCCTGTATAATGCAACTGCATCGTGTTAAGCAAATAAAAAGAAAAAATAATTTTGATATATTATAAGGATCACGGATATAGTTATGAAAAAGCTGATGGATGTGGTGAAAGAAAATTAATTCGGTGATAAGTAGCATCGTATAAGGAAGGCAGTTTAGATTATATAAAGAACGAAAACGGGTCGTGAAAGAGAGGAGAGAGTGAGAGCGAGAGCGAGCGAGCGAGAGAGAAAGAAAGAAAGAAAGATAGGGAGAAAGAGAGGGGACAGCGCCTCGGACGAAACCGGACGATAGAGATACTGAGAAAGAGAGGGACGGATATTTGATCGGATTTCGCGGAGAAAGGAGACTGAGGAATGGAAAAGGAAGGAAGGAAGGAAGCAGCTTTAGAGAGTAAGAATTAGTCGTGGACTTAGGCGGGGTTTTGTTGGGTGTGTTTCAGAGTGGCGGTGGAGATAGCACGGGGTGTTTCAGGGAGGCGAGGCGACCGTGGCTACGGACGCTCACGCTCCTGGAGAGACAAGTAAGCATATCCAATGTGTCTTGTTACAGAATTACTGTAGAGAGGGCCCGGGGGACACCTAGGGGTAGTGACCAGTGGCGCTATGGTGACTCCCGTGGTGGTTATGGGGACTCGAGGCGATCTGCGTAAGACACGCTATCCTTTTTTTTATTTTATCAGAGCGATCATTATCCCCTCCTCCCCTGCAGGCAGCCGGCTCAGGATGTGCGAAATCTAAAACGATTGATTAATTCCCGTTCGTTCGGATACCTTTCTTTTGTGTATACATTTTTTTTGTGTACGTTTCTTTTTTTCATTTTTGCTTTTCGTTACGTTCCTTCTATTTATTTATTGTTGTCTCTCGAATTTCTTATGCCGCGTAATCGATTTCGCACATTGTCCGCACAGGGAAGAACGTAACCTTGGATATTGATAAGCTCTAGCGTAGAGAGGGCGTAGAGATGATAAACCACGCGTTTGAAAACTTCTCTTGCCTTTGCGCATAATGAAAATACATTAATTAGAAATCGAAGTCTTATCTTCTGAATTGGTTGTCTTGGATTTGACTACTCTCTTGAGTACGTCGAATTGTCAAAGTTTTATGGAAAAAAAAAAAAAAAAAAAAAAAATCGCGATGAAAAAGTGATAGCAAGATAACGCCTAGCGATACCCTCCCAGACATTATTGTTTATTGCTGGTAGTTGAACGAGATGAACCGATGTAATTGGCGACTAATAGATGTGTGGTATTGTGTTTGTTACAGCCGAGACGATATGCGGCACGACAGGTACGCTATTGCTGCATTTTGAATAGATTTGATTCGATTGGAACAGGTGATTGATTGTGTGCCTGAGCAATGAGTGCAGATCTGTAGTTATTTGCTGAAGGTTTAACCGACGATCCGTTATTTCTGTTCACATGACATCCCTTTTTGCAGAGATAGTGTGAACAGAAACACGAGGACTGCATCTAGCTACAAGCAATCATTGCCCAGGTACATACATCCAATGTTACGCTCTAACGATTACACCTTAAACTTATACAAACTTTACTGTTGTAAATGTCTTGAATTTATATCATTATTGCGTTTTATACCATACTTTCATTCGCTACATTAACGTTAAAGTCAGGTCCAAGACAAACCTGCTTGCTTCTAGAAACATACATGTAGATAATAGCCAGTCTTTTTCCCATTGTAGATATGGACCACCGACACGTACCGAGTACCGCCTCACCGTGGAGAATTTGTCGAGCCGCGTCAGCTGGCAGGTAAGTCATAAACGTATTTTGCTTTTCTTTTTCTCTTGCATTTTTACTGATACTTACCTTCGTTGGTTTGATTACTATTCGCGATTCCAGAGAAAACGTTGCACTGCTTTATATGGGTTTTTCGAATTAATATATCACTCCGAATATCTCTCTGAGTTTTTTCGCAGTCTGTTTCTATCAAATTCCACGCGTGTCGATAATACATAACATTTCTTTCTTTTGTTCTTCAATTGTCTTTCGTCTCATTTTACGTTTATTTACTCAGAATAGAGAGCCCTATTTTGGAATGTAGAAAGATGTAAGATTTTGATCAAGTAAGTCTATGGCAAAAATTGAAATCAAATTTTTATATTACATGTGCAAAAGATATTTTTCACGAAAAAAAAAAAAGAAAGAGACGAGAGAAGCGAATGAGAAATTCGTATGAAAATTCGTATGAACAGAAATATCAAAATTGACACGTGCGAGATGCAAGAAACGCATGGCGGAACACCATACCTGACATACAAGGAAGGACACAGGCACGAAGGAACTCGGGAGTAACAACGTGGCCCGTGATGAAACGAGCGCAGCCAGATACTATTTGGACAAAGACATTCAGGACGTCGCGGACGCGAAGAGCTGTAAAGCGGAAGAAACGAAGCAACGAATACGGATGAAAACGGATGGTGATGATAGACCGAGACAGAGCGATACAGATAAATGCAAACAATATGTGGGAATACCAGGACGCAAATAGACGCTTTTAAAACCAAAAAAAGCCATAAAATGTCATACTGACTGTAAATCGAAGACTGCACGTGAACCAAGCCTTACTTGATCAATTTACATTATGTATATTCTCGTATATTACATATATAATCTATAAAAGTATATATTTTTTCTATATCTATCGTTGCACTTTTCCGATGATTGGTTATTTGTTGAAAAAAAAAAAAAATTCTCTCGATTGTTCGACGTTACTTTTTCAATTTATTATTTCATTTACGTTCGGCCAACAGTTTGAGAAAAAACAAAATAAAATTGATGTTCTTTCCGAAGAGCCATATCCTCTTCGCCGAGGAGGGGCGACCGGTAGGGCCAATAGACTGATGTGCGATGATAGAGATGACGATGCACGCGATGGGCTCGCCTTGAGGTCAAGTGGCACCAGGTTGGTTTCTGAGGTGTCCCGGGTGACAGAGAGAGCCGCGTGGCACTGGGATGTACACCTACCACCACCTATCTACCATCATACTACTACTCGCGCGCAGTAATACGTGGTGAATCCCGGTGAAATCCCAGTGATAGGGTTATTGTCCGTACTTCAATCCTCTTCACCGTGATCACTGGGGGAAAAAAAGAGAGAACGAAAGAGAGAGAGAGAAAGAGAGAGAGATCCAACTGCCGCTACCTACTTTATCCGTCTGGGAAACAAACATTTATTTACGTAAACAGTCTCCACCATCAATATATATCACCACTCTTCCTATTACTATAAACCGACATGGTCATAATTCAGTACCTTCATCGACCATCATTACCACCACCATCACATCTACCACTCCACTGTGACTGTCATTGCTACTGGTACGCCACGCAACCTAGCCATCTAGTAAGTCAGGCAACGGCCACACCCACATGAGGGCATACGCGGGCCGAAACCCAAACCATCCGCGACTACGCCAAACAGATCCGTTCGACCCGACCGAGCGCCGTGTGTCTGGCCTTTCTCTCTGTCCGTAAGCAAGGTGGTGCCTGGGCCCAAGGTAAATGCGTCACCTTAACCGAGTGTACTCTTAGATATACACATATATATTATATATCTATTATAATTACACACTCTTGAACGTGGTCTTGTTCACATATGTATACTATATATATATATATCTTATATATAATTATTATATACCTATCTATACACCTATTATTTAATATTACTGTGCACCATAGCTCAGCGTTCATCGAACCGTTGAGACGTTTTACGAAACTCGGAGCTGTGCACGCGCAACTAATTGCGAAACCGGAGGATAGGGAACCATTAGTGATATATTCACGTGCTCGAAATTAGAAATCAACTTGTTACTCGCCAAATCAATCTTGCATCTCTACGTAATGTGATAATGACATCGGGATTTTCTTTATTCTTTTACACTGAACACCTTTCTATCGCCACATATATACATTTCGACAAAATTTTCCGAATAGCGAAAGACCAACTTTTCTTTATGCAAGACAATTTGCATCAATACTCTATATATATATAAATTTTAAATGTAGCAAGCGAGGAATGATATTTCAGAGGAAATTCGTCCAGCGTCGGAAATATATCTTCGGCAATGGCATGCGTGAGCGTTCCGTTTTTCCTTTTCCTTTTTTTTTTCTTTTATTACATGGAAACACTTGCGCTTGGACCTTGAGAGACATCGGCATAAATCTCAGAAAGGCCGCCGCCATGTGGTATCCCGGCAGATACGGAGATGTCTGCGCTCTCTCGTACTTACCATGTAAAACGACGGGCACATAGGCACATCTACTGTCTACCTAGTACCTCCACAACACTAAAGCCGTACCTGGTTCCCACAGAGAGATATACATATAAGCACATCTTCCAGCGATGAATGAACGCAAACGGACCACTAGACAGTATCTGCCTTCACTCGCTGATATCCCTTACGAGGAATGACTGTGAAGTATTAGACTTGATAATATGTGGAAGAGACAACAGAATAGAAAGAGAACGGATAATATGGAAGATATCATGCTTGACAGAGAGAGTAATCTTGCAACATTAAGAGAAGAGATCCCACAAAAATGTCACACGGGAGAAGAATTCAACGAATTCATCATATTTTTATTTTTAGCGAAAAATTAACACGATCTTTTTTCCTTAATTCCTTATGTTTTTCAAACTTTTTTCTATTTTATTGCGATGTATTCCGATATAGCCTCTTCAGAATTCTTACTGATCAATTATTATACAGGTATATATGTGTTAAAATCTTTCATTTTTGCTTTATAGCGATTCTTTTGCTGTTACGCATATAAATCTTTCTAAAGAATTATATATTGCTCAAAACATTAGACTTATATATATTAGTTTCATTTATATTAATTTTTTTTATAACATCACGTGTTATGACATGTTATGTTAAATATCATACTAGAGAAATATCGCATTTATTTTATACTTGTAATTATATTGTGAGCCGTCCTGCAGAAATGAGACTATACTTTTCTTCAAAAATATTGATTTATTTATATTACAAAATATGTCGTATAAAAAGTACCTCATTCTGTAGGATGGAGTTATGTGTATGTATATATGTATAAAATTATAATCACGTTTGTTTTGAAGATTGAATTGCATAATAAGAAAGGTTGCGTCGATAAGCAGGTACTAAATTCGAGCACGCAATTTGTAATTTATTCTCAACATTGAAGACGCTAGCAGATGTAGACATTATGCTATGCTTATCTCTTTCTCTAGTCAAGTAGACCCAGGTTACCTCCCGCAAGGAAAGAAATCAAAATAGAATATAACGTATGAGTGCACAGGATATATTTTAACCTGCGCGATACATCAGACTAGGAACACAGTATAGTAAACTCCAACTAATAATTCTAAATCTATTCGCATACTTATGCAAATTAGCATAGAGAAATATACTAATTCTGATTCTTGTGTGATGTTCAGGATTTGAAGGATTACATGAGACAAGCTGGAGAAGTGACGTATGCTGATGCTCACAAGCAACGTAGAAACGAAGGGTAAGTGACCACTCATTAATTACAGGAATGATAAGTACAATCAAGTTGTTTCTGTATTGGTAACGAAAAAAAAAGTTCATAAAAATCTGCACATTGGCATAATCTCATATCATTACATTAATCTAACGATCCGAACGATTTGTGATTTTGCAGAGTTGTCGAATTCGCGACGTACTCCGATCTGAAGAACGCTATTGATAAATTAGATGACACAGAACTGAATGGCCGCAGGATTAGACTCATCGAAGACAAGAGACGCGGCCGTCGTTCAAGATCTTCTAGTTCGAGATCGCGCTCCCGATCTCGATCTCGATCGCGTCGTCGATCGCGCTCCCGTTCAAGGTATAATCGTCGTTCTCGATCTAGGTACTGTCGGGGCGACATTATGTCACTTGATGTTTTTTTTTTTATTATAATTATTTTTGTCTAGATATAATTACTAGTCCTACAGTCCTTACACAAAAATGATCAGTTGGTTATCTTCTTCAGTTTGAATTACATTTTTGCCATTACGTTTTTCCTTTAGTTTAAACAAAGTAATTTACATTACAACTTAATTTTTAAACTGATTATAAATTCATTTTTTGTTTTATTTGATCCTTAGATCAGTCAAAATTTTATTCTTTGTGTATTGTGTTGTTATTGCAAAATTATCGCGTAACAAAATAGTTTTGCGATGATCGGTCGGAAACCGTCTTAGAACATTAAGTACATCTTAACACTGTTTTCTATTATGCAGAAGCCGTCGCAGTTCTCGTAGCCATAGCCGCCGTAGCACCCGCTCCAAGTCAAGAGCACACTCCAAGTCCAAGTCCAAGTCTAAATCTAAATCTCCTGAGCGTAGTCGTTCACGCTCAAAATCCAAGTAAGTATCCTTGTAAAATTATATCCTACGATTATGTTTGTTCCATCAAAATCAGCTGTTTAATCTATTCACAACTATGTATATTTATTTCACTTATTTTATTTTTTTTTCTTGCGCAGTTAGTCGTCACAAGTCAGTGTACACTCTCATTCCCATTTATTATTGGCATTGTTTTTGGGCTGGCTATGTGCCTTGAGCTCTCACGCTTAAATCACGCTTTATACGCGTTCACCTACTCACGTGTGCGCGCGCGCTTGGAAAACGAAAAAAAAAAAAAAGAAAGAAAGCGAGTTTCTTTGTATTTTGTAAACTTTCTCTACTTTCGTACCCCTTTCATTTTGAACTATAATTTTGCAGATCAAGAGACCGCTCAAAGTCGAAATCTAAGTCAAAGTCCAAATCCAGATCTCGTTCTAGGTCCAAGGCTGAGAGGTCAAAGTCCAGGTCGCAGTCCAAATCCAAAGCCAAGTCTCCCTCAAAGTGAGTCCTCTCGCTGGCCTTTTCTTTAAGCGATACATAGCTGACGCAAGAAAATAAAATTTCTCGAGTGATGTTCACAAATTGTAAACGTCCTAAACGTTCCTCCTTTCAGGGATAGGTCAAGCCGGGAGCGTTCCAGGGGTGACAGATCACGGTCTCGATCAGGCAGTAAACACAGCAAGAGCCGTAGTCGCTCTCGCTCGCCCATGAATGGTGACAAATCGCCGGAAAGCACCAAACAGAAAGCCGATTAAGCAAAGAGATAAAAATCAGCAAATTATTTCTCCTTTTTGTTTCCCTTTTTTTTTTTTTTTTTTTCCATTATTTTTATATCATATTAAAAAAAACCACTCTCATCATTAATAATGAGGTTTATTAAACCTGTATCGATTTCTTAAGCCTCTATCACTTCGATGTATAATTTGGAAAATATAATCAGAGTTTCTTTTTAAGGATTCAAAATTACTAATCATTTAAGATAATTTGTGATTTAATTTTCTTAAATCATGATTAGCTTTTCTTAAATGATGATTTCGGCTTTCATTATTTTTGTTATTCTTTTTCCTAGCTATCACAATAGGTTTAGCGACTACACATCTGATTTAAACAATTTGTGTATTTAGATAAGTATTCTTTATTCATACCTCTGAGACTACAAATTTTCAATGTATCGCCGTATAATAATACGAGTTCTCTTATATAACGGCTTTTTGTATATATTCCTAATGATTACATTACAATAAGAAAGTATGTGATGTGTATTAAATTTAGTGGTAAGAGGTATCTCAACTGTCAATAAAAGTTCATGTCAATGCAAATTAATATTTCATATCCAAGTCCCCAATACCGTGCCCAATTATTTGTTTCGAACATTCTTAAATACACTCGTATATCCTCAAATTTACATTAGTATATTTTTATTATTTATAGAAAATTTATTCAGTAAAGAAAGAAGGGAATTGAAATAAAAATATTAATATTGCAATCAATCTATGAAACCGATGTAATTTCGAAAAGTTTAATTCGTAAAAACGATTCTACAATTACGTTTGATTTGCTTCAAATATAAATATAAAGAATTTGAAAAAATTTTAGCAAAATTACATCAGTTTGTATCTCGGGTTATTTCGAATTCTCAGCCAGACAAAAAACTTAACGTAGTCCAGACGGACATATGACGCGCAGATGTTCCCGCATGGGACTCCTGATGACTCACTGACGTGTGTCAACCCTGGTATTCTCTCTTTCTATTCCCTAACGTGTTGGGAATGGAACGTCATCGCGAAATAGGATGTCTAGCTGGAGAACGAGAAAGAAATACAGATAGAGCACGTAGGATGAATGACACGGCGACATAAAAAGATCGTTGCCGTGTCGACGTTCAATGTCAGATTTGTGGCGCCGTCCATGCGTCGAGCGTGAATTCCCAGTCGTCGTCGAGGGTGAGTCAGTTACCCCTCCGCATGACGGTCAAGGAGACGATCGGAAGAAACGCGTAGAAAAGGGGAACGCGATTAATTTGCGCGATTGGGGAGGTAGGAGCTGAGCGACGATTGGTCCCTGTCGGAGAGCAGTGGGGTCCCAGGCCAGGACTGATAAATGCACTTGCAAGACCCAGATACTGTGTACGTCGTGCAGGTCGTGCTGTGAAAGAGCCGTGATACGATTTATATAACTGAAATATATTTCTTTAATACATAATATGGTATAAATTTTAAATTCTTTTTTCGTAAATAAATTGAAAAGTTAATTGTAAATTAACTTTACCGAGTACAAGTACCGTTGTTTCTCTCTCATTTCTTGTAATATATATATATATAATAAAATTAAATCGAAAGACAGATTTTCCTTTGTATGACTAGTATTACAATTAATTATTTATGTTACTAATTCTAAATTATTCAACTATTCCAGGAATGTCGCTTATCGGCATTGAAAGGCTACGCAAGCACTCCATCAAACCCTTTCCTGCGCCGATCCTGGCGAGAGGGGCCTGTCGCCCTAAGAGGGGAGGCCACGGGTAGAGGGGGATGAACGACGGGAGCTGTTCGACGCTGTTACCTGGTGTTACGTGCCGCAGAAGCACTAGCCGGTCAGTCAGTGTACCGTCTCGTTCCTGCCCTTGAACAACGTTCGCCTGCTGTTCGACAGTGTCCGCGCCTGCCTGCGCCCTAGAAACTCGCACGCGTCAACTGACAGGTCAGTGCACCCTTCGCCGCGAGTTACTCCGTTGTTTCCTCACAGCAATGTGCGTCCAATGGCGGATTAAAGGCGAACCGTCAGAATGAATCGGCCCAAATCGTAAATACGTAGCAAATATCCTCCAAAGACATTTTAAACGTCTCCCGGATTCTTGTGATGACCTTTAGAGAAGTTACTCGTTCAGCTCTCCACAGAGATTCACGGAGAGGCGACAGCGAGCTCTTCCTTTCATCGCCTTCTGTCCTTTCTTTCGCGTATTAATTTGTGGAAATGAGAGAAAGGATTGACACTAAGAGCTGGCGTGAGAATCTGTGATCGAGCGTCGAGGAACCGTAACGTCCTGTGTATTCCAATGGTGCTCTCCTTCGCGTAAGGCGGCGAAGCGTTCGGCGATCGATTCTTCATTTGCGAGATATCTCAGCTGAGAGTTCCAGAATTGGCGAAGCTATAACGAGTGATTTTTTTCTCCGAGGTATAGTGGCTTAAAAATACAAGAGTTTTTAATCTCGTGTATCGAGCGTATGGAGCGATCGCCTTACGAATCGGCGTTATCACGATTTCCCGGTTATTACGATTTCTGGCTTGATAACTTTAACATGCGTTAACTTATCTCAGTAACAGTGTGTCCTTCGTACAACGCCTACAGAATTCGTCACATTTATCGTCGAGTTCACGCTTCGATATAACAGCATTGAGCGGTTTATGTTTGTTCACAACGAATCGAAACGCGACGTTTCGGCGTGAGCTCCATTTTGCTTATAGCGTGGGAAGTTGAATTCGATTGTCGCTCTGTAAGTATAGATAAATGTAATTTCTATTTCTACGGCAATTGGGAATATTATAGGATGGCTTTTCGGTGTGGCTATAATATATATAATAAATTGCATACTCCGAAATTACGTGTCTCCACCGGCCGGGCTTGCACCGAGATATCGATCGGTCTTTCGACGCGATCGAAAATGGACACGGGGTGTGGTCGAAAGGAGTCTCTCTCTCTCTCTTTCCGAAAGAAAACGTTTGTTTCTTCGTCCCCGTAATTGAGCGGTGGCATTGCGAATTAATGACGTTCTTCGTGGAATATGACGGAGAATCGGACGAACCGGGAATGAGTGGTTTACCGTTTTCATAATGATTATTCCGTCACAACTGTTATATATCGTTACCATACATCCATGAACCGTGTATTTTCCTAAAATTACAGTGGCGTAAAATGCATATTATTAAAACGTGGATTAAATAGACCTCTTATCGCTCGCAGACAAGGATTTTTTTATGTACGTATTACTGGTGATACCTCGATACGTACCGTATTGTATCTCACTGTAATTATGCATATGTATGAGAATCGATAAGATTAATGGATGCGAATTAATGAGCCTGAATTAATGAGTGGATTATATCGCGCGAATTCATAACGTTTTCGATCGGAGCAATTTGAAACGTTTCGAAAGAGCGATCAGGATAAATCTTAAGGATATTTTTCAAATGTGCGTTTATGCAAATGCAAATGTTATGTCAAACGCAAAATTAGACGTGACAAGTTATTAAGGCTTATTCATCGATCTGCTACTGTTTCGTTTATTTTCTCACATCATTTTTCTTTATCGTTATATCTTTACTATTATTTTTTGCTAATCATATTTTTTGCATTTTGCCGTATATTTTTATTTGTGTTTTAAGAGATTGTTTCCAAACTATAGTAATTTAACTTTTAATGTCTAATTAGACGTGAGCTGCGATGGTAATTAAATTTAATCGCTCTTTCGAAGCGAGGCAGATCGCTTCAATCGTGGAAAACCTGTCGAGGAACTTCCTGACTCTTCTTTCGTATACAGGCGAATAGCGCGAGGCAGCAGGATGGGGATAAGGGCGTGGTTTTGACAGATGCATACAACGCACGCATATGCGTCTTCCTCAGTCGTTGTCAGCCCTCATTTTCCATGCTTATGTATCACACATTCGGCGCTGACTCTCTGTCGTTACAATCGTAGAACAATTTCTGAAAATGAAGTTGAACGTTATTTACTTTCTTTTAACTTTACTGGATTAATGGATATTGGATGCA